AATGACAGGCAGTTTATAAAAGTCGTTATAAAGTTGTACGTACAAACTGTAGGTTAAATTCTATACACCGTTTGATAAAATGATTGCATACAATCACGTCTTCGGACTTGTGGTACTTCCAACGAGAGCCTAACTCGCTTTTCTCGGCTGCGGACGAAACGCGATTTGCAATATTTCACTCAATCAATTTCGCGTATGCGTTTAGTGGTTTCGTGCTAATTTAATCTCAAATAAGCAGTAATTATTTAAATTCCAGCGGAGTTTAGAGACGTTTTGAGCACAAGGTTTCTTGTTCGTTTGGCCTGGAGTGATCCTGAATTACAGTGATTACACAGCTTCGAGTTCCCTTCAAATTATATTTTTTCATTGGCTAGACAACACACGAGTACATGCAGATTGTATAATTAGGTGAATAAGTTGAATCAATTAACTATTCACGGCCCAAGCGATTACAAAACCCGCACTAAAATTGCAAAACAAAAACCGCGCCGCGCCGTTTTCTTATTCACCGTCGCTCTTGTTGTTCTTGTCGATTGTTTGCGAAGGATAAAAATTTCCTACGTATCCGAGGATACATAGTTTACCAAAGAAAATTGCAATCGATTAACATTTTTCTTGCGAAATTGTGACCAACAATTGATTTAAATTCTTTCCTTCAAATCAATGCCGACCACTTCCATTTAACCAAGAATCCGCATTCGAAACGATTTAATTCGCTCAGAACAAAAAATTATTTCGTTTCTAGTTGAGACATCACATTTTCAACGCCACAAAATAAATTAATTTACTAGCAAGACAGACGTACAATCAGTAACATAATAACTCTTGTCATATAGTTAATTTAACGTACCCTTGAATAAAGCGATTTCGAGTGATACCATATTCAGTAGGAATATCCTAACATCTCGTTTCTACACAAGAAGCTACTTCAAACCGATATGTGAAACGGGTTTCTGTTTTCTACCGTTAGCGATGCGGAACAGCCCGGCTAAATTTGCATGACGCAGTAATCCTCAAACACGAACTTCAAGATTAATTACGTATTTAAATAGGATAAAAATATAATTTTAATTCTATAATTTTATATAATGAAAAATAGAAATGAGCTCTTTATCAGCGAATTAAGCACTGAATGAGAACATAAGTAAACAGGATTATCTCCTAAATTTGCATGACGCAGTAATTCTTAGATGCGAACATTCAATTAATTACATGTTTTAAAGGATTAAAGTTTAATCTTAAGTACATAATCTTTAATTATAATAAAAATAAGATTTAAATAAATAAATAATTCAGAGAAGATTAACTCTTTGTCGCCTGTCGGTACTAGAAAGTACCGCCATACAAAAACGAGGTAACAGGATGTAAAAGACGCAACCCTAGAAGAAGTGAAAGAAAAGAAAAAGCAACAAAAATGGAAGAAACAGGAGATCGACAAAAAATGGAGGCGAAGAAATGTAGAAAAACAAATTTCAGACTATAACTTCGAAATGTTCGACGGATGTATTTGGGGTTACTTGACCCTGTAATAGAATATATAATATTTCAAAGCAACCTTTATGCTACACAAAAAGAGAAAACATTAAATTTGACAAATGATGAATTTTTAACTTTTATAGGGATCAATCAGTTTATGGGTCACAAAGTTCCTTCTTGGAGACATTATTGGTCTACCAGTACTGATCTTGGAGTGCCACTGATTTCGAATGTAATGTTGAGGGACAGCTTTGATAAGATATTGTCAAATCTCCACGCAATTGACAACAGTACAATTCCTGCGAATAACAAAGATAAACTATATAAACTAATGCATGGAATAATCATGGAACTAGAAAACTCTCGGTAGATGAATCTATTCTATTCTAGCATTCAAAAGAAGAAGTTCAATAAAACAGTACAATCCAATGATGCCAATCAAGAGGGGTTACAAGTTATGGTGTTGTGCAGATCAAAGGGGATTTGAAATCATCCCCTTTGATTTCTCATTCGTTCAATTTTAGATTCAAAGTTCTGGAGCCTCAGCCGCAAGCGACCTCGGCTGATTATCTCTTAACGTTTGTGTTGAGCTGTGCACAATATTTTCTTTAGTTTCGAGGTTCTGGATTACAATTTTACAACATTACAATTTAACGTTATGGTTGAGATGTGCTTAACATTTTTTGGCAACTTGGATTCATTCAATTAACTGGACATTGCTGGTATTGAGAATGTCCTGGTAACAGGAAGTTCTAGGTAAACTAAAGGAATTTATATATAGAATTAATGTTAAATTAATAAATAAATCTTTGATTTAAATAATACACCATGCTGGTAGCCTCTTATTTGCCTTTTTTTATGTAGCTACATGATACTCACCTATAAGGGGTTATCTTCCGAAAACAAAACGAATTGAATAACATTCACATTAGGCCTTAAACGTAAGAGAGATGCAATGAAATGCTATGGTAAACCCTATTCGTTGAAATTTACAGTATAATGGTTACGGCATACAGAACAATGCACCATTTGTTTTTATCGGCGCTACACGTTTTGCCAGAGTATCGACAGTATTTAAGGAAATTTGTAATACATCAACAAAGTGCATTCGTATGGGAATCAGATCGTTTCAACGACCGCATTTAAATACACTCAGCGTGTCGCAACGAGGGCGTATTTATGTGATTCGGCATTGTATTGAGACCACACGTACTTGTCCGTGGTTGCTAAGCTTTCCTGTTTGCATTAATCTACCATCGTTCCGAAGAAATCGCCGTCTAAGTAACTTTCAGCCCGTTTATTACTTAATCGATTATAAGGGAGATGAAATTATCATCGTCGACGTTTAAGTTCTTAAAGAACGTCCAATTGGATGCAGGTTATTACAGTTAGGTTAATTTCGTAATAGAATAAACGGCCGAAATTACACGTAATCTATGGAATTATCATAGTTAACATCATAAGTACTGTTTCTATACTATTTGCAATGCTGGGAACGAAAAGTGGTCGAGAAAATTACCTTTACCGATGATGGGTCTAAGTATGCCATTTGTAATAACAGTAATTACTATTGAATTTAAAGTTTCGTTTCTTGCATCTATTTATATTGTGTTAAAGTTTGTTAGTACTCTTACAAGTTCTGCAAGAACTTCTCAATGCGGCAGATTAACCATTGTGTATGTTTTGGCGTGAGTGATTTATATAATTTATCCGCGCCATTGTAAAGCACTGTTGTAATCTGGAATGTGCCTGAGCAGAAACTCCTAATAACCAGGTTGCATGTATGCAGATAATATGTTCATAATCCGTGTCAAGCGCACCGCTGATTTATGAGTGTTAATTAAGTTCAATCAATCTCTTAATTAAACGCAGGCGCCGTATAATGAATGATGAAGTTTGTGTCTTAAGGTATCTAGGGACAAAAATCGCTTAGTATACGTATTTGCCGTTTCATAAAGCAATTTGTTTGTGTTTACCCAACGCAAGCAGTGTCCCTGTTTAAGTCTGTTTGCGGATTACGTAATTTCATCTCCTTGATGGTACCATCAATCAAACAACTGCGACCACGAAAATAGCCGTTAAACCGTAATTCGTGTAACGACGTGCCAAATCGTTGGTATGCTTGTCGACAACATAAATCATATCGGGCCAGATACTCGGACGTTTTCTAATACGGAATTGTTTCCTTATTGCGCGGGATCGGGCCTCATTAAACGTCCAGACGGCAGAAAATGCCCGGAGATCAGATAATGAGGATTTATCACGGGCCATCTCGTGGCCAACAAAAATGCAACGGTATTATTAGTTGCATAGCGGCGCACGACAAGCGAAAGGTGTCAGTAAGTCGTGAACTGGGGGCGGTCAACTCAGGAGCATGTGGCACGACCATAATTTTCATGTGAAACCAGAGGACAATGGACCGTTTAAAACATTACAACGGGTACTCACAAAAACCCGAATACTCTAAGATACAACTTTATTAAGTCATTATCTTACTCAATGCTTACACGATATTAATGCAATTATTGATTATTAGATTTGTTTAAACACTTTATGCCTTTGGCCGATTATATTTATATCATAATTTACACGAGAAATAAGTCGATAAAATATTCATTCGTTATAAATTCAAATTTAAAACTGCACACATTGACAGGATAGCGTTGGGCGTAAAATTACTAAACCAGGCAGCGTTACTAAATTGCTTGATTATATAGAGGTGTCACACAAACTGCTAAAATTATGTATTTTTTTGTCTTATGCATATTAAATCTCATCTAACTGTAATCACTAAGAACTTATCAGATAGGATTGATCTTGTATATATTATAGAAAAAAAAAGAGATCTGGCCTCAAGCGGACAAACACTATTTGAGTATTTGATCATTTTAGTGTCATTTTGACATACACCAAAAAAGTTCATCTATTTTCTGGAACCTTGGAAACTCTTTCAAAATATGTCAAAATCATGTTTAAGTAAGCTTAATATGTTTCTAAAGTTTGAATACCATTTTGACACACACCTTATTCTATTTTCTGGTATTTATGAAACACTGTCAAAAAGCATCAAAGTTACTTTTTTTAATTCTTTCGTCTTTGTTAAATGTTCTAGAGGTGTTTTTAGTCTCTCTCTCTGTAGTTTTTAGTATGATGACTATTTAATAAATTTTTCGTAACAAACTTATCGCTGCTTATAAAATCTCAACCCAACCCATATTGAGTTTATGACATTAATGTAGTTCAAATCATTTTCTATATTAATTCCATTGCAAACTATATTAAGCTTATTTATTTTTAAATACCTTTTATTAATTATAATCTAAGCGATTAACATAATTGGCGGGTGAATTTTTTTAATAGAAGCTTCTGTCCGATTATGTAAAAAAAGCGCAGAGAAAACGATACTTTTGCAATCGCTGGTAACAATTTGCATAAGGCCTCCTACGAGATTTTCATAATTTATCATCGCCTTTAGAACGTGTTAGAGCAACCACACAGGGCGTCCAAGTGAACAAATGGCAATATTAAAAGAGTTTGGTATATAATTTATTTCCTTGTATACATGACAAGTTTTGAAGCATGCAAATCTCAAAACAGACACTTTACATATTCTATAGATTTTTCATTGTGTACGTTAAGTATCGCGCGTTAAGACTGAGGGTCGCTAAACCAAGCCCAGTTGTGTGGTCTATGCAACCAAACTCGATCACATTCGCCGTTCTTCTATATTTTTGATTTTTTAACTCTAAGGAATCTTTATAACAACCATTCTCAGTTTGCCAAATTATCGGTTTACTTCGCCATCTCTCAATAAGGAATTCCCCGTATCCCTCCATCCCGCAAAGTAAAAGTTGCTCTAAAAATAAATCGGTATTGGGAAAATTAAGATACTCCAACGTTTTTGCATCCCTCCAAATTAAAGAACAAAATTTTTCTATATATATACTTATTGACTCTTTAAGACCACATCTTATTCCACGAAACAATTGCATAAACAATAATCTATGCGTAATCACGTAAAGTGTGTCATTTCGATTTTCTAACATCAATACCGAACATTCACTTCCAATTTCGCAATCATTTTCTAATATTTCAGCTAAACACTGATCCGAAGATAAACCATGATAAGATGAAGATTTATTTTTCATGACATCATCAACTGTCCAATTAGAATGTAATCCGAAATCTTTTAGTAATCCTGATTTGAATGAAACTGACTTGTACCATAATTTCGGTTCCAACAAAGTATTTTTAACTAAAAAAAATTCTGTAATTGTATTGATAAATTTGAATCAAAACTTACATAAAAAATTGTATTCACCGCTGCCTCCCATAGAATTTTCTTTAAAAAGATTTATTAAGTTTTGACATCGTATTCTGAATGAATTAAATGCTGACTCATACATCCAAGGAACGTTTGGTAAAGATTGCTCGATTTGAGCTTAAATTAAAGATTAATAATACAATAAATTTTTTAAAATTATACTTACATAAAGCGAGGGTAATTCCAAAAAACGCGTCCAAATTAAGCTCATCGATGTAATCCTCCAAAAAATTTAACACCTGATTAATTGATTGCAACGTTACATCTAATTCATTTTCTTTTGAAACGATAACACCTTGCGTTAAAGTGTTGCATGAAACGAAAAAGAATAAAATAACCGATCCAGATATGAAATACAGCTTGGACATCTTTTGTGATACTGATAAAGAGAACCTATTTCACAGCTGTTTTATACACTCGGATTAATTACTTAGATAAACGCGTCATATATCGCCATGGATAACGTTTCAGTCAGTAGAATAGATCAATATGGACTGATTTATTTTATGTTATTGGATATGGGGGCGATTTTACTGACTTTATCAAAAAAAGTTTTCACTCAAAAGTTCTTTGTTTTTAAATTACTTTTATTTATTTTAGCTATAAATATAAATATCTCGTTTATATAATATTCATGAGATATTTTGTTGGCTCTTACAAACAAGAATGTAAATGCATCCGCTTCATGATTACTGCAATTAAGAGATTTATTCGGAATAATTACATATGTTGTAGTAAGCAAAAGTATATATTTGGAATTCTATTAGTTTTGCTTAACTTAAAACTGGTCAACAAATGGTTGGCTGGATTTCTTCGACAAAAGCTATGGTTGAAAGTTTCCACCAAATCATAATATAACCCAAATCTGGTTGTGCTGCAAAATCAGAATTGACAATAACATATATTAGCAGTTGATTAGTTTTAATTATAATTAATTGAGGTTTAATTCGACATCAAGCTAATATGTACCATTTAAATCCGGTGATTAACAATTTCCTTTTCAAAATCCGGTACGTTTTGGAACGTGCAAACCTTTCCGATCATGTCAACCATTAGTTAACGCCAATTAATTCAAGATATTATTACAAAAACATCTAGTTTCCGTCACATAATTCATACATGTCACCTGTGCAGTTGTATGCGGAATAACCGCACCAATAAATAGATTTTCTTTTTCGCAATTACCGGCTATTTATGGGGTGAGGATTTTTTTATGTGCGATAGTAAAACCAGGTAGTGGGCCCATAAACAAGAATTTATAATTATCATTTCGTCGAGATGGAAAAAATCGGTACAAGCGGCTCGGCAATCGTTAAGGAACGTACACTTGGTGCAATAAACAGTGACCACATGAATGGACCTTGTCATCGCAAGCCTCAGCATGCAAATCCAATTATTATTCATGCGGAATCATTTTTAAAATTCCATCGTTTAAATCCAAATTAACGTTTCCTGTTTTTTTGTTGTTAGATCTTAATAATCGAAGAATCAAAAAGATTTAATAAATTTCTTGCGTCATTCGAAATCTTTCAAGCTTTTTCTGCATCCACCAACCAGAAGAATTAATTAACAACAGCAGGAAACCGCAAAAGAAACACATTGCGATATCGAGTCTAATAGTTACGTCTTCCTTTCCTTTGGAAATAATTAACGGTCCGGTGGGAAACATATTTTAAGTGTTTTTTCCAACTTCGAAAGCTCGGGCCGTTAAGAAAAGCAATTAGAACACAAGCCATGATGTAAAGACAAGTCGCGTTACCGTCGGTTGAATGTGCGATTCGTTACACTTTATGCGATACAGGTGTTTAATTAAGAGTTGGCACTTATTTTTTACGACGTTTAACATCTCATTATAGCGTTGATTATTGATAATTTAAAGTCAATGGGCCGAGAAAATGTCGAGCGTAACGAGAGGATCGAAAAATGTTCCATTTATTTTTGCACTATTGAAATATGGCAAATTGATTTTAAATTGGAAGTTATGTTTGCCCGCATGAAGTAGATGGTACTACAAAGATTAGCAAATATTGTTTTAATCCTTTATTTAATTATGCATATACGTTTCTTGATAGCGCTTTGAAGTAAATCTTGATGAAGTATGGATAAAACGTTTAAATTTTAATTACATTTTCGCCTTACTAATAGAGACTTTAAGCCGGCTATGTTTGGGTCCTCAGGTGGAAGGCGATTTATTAATTTACATATAAGTATGGCGCAGGCAGTGAACGCAAAACTGATCTCAGCCGACAGCCATATTATCTACGTTTGAGTCTCATAAATTCCATCTATGCATATCAACCGAAGAAATGTTTGTTTTAGATTTATTGATCCTCCAATACCATCGTAAATCTCATCGAATTTATTACATTTATAAAAGTTTATTAAAGATTGCTAAAAGTTTTTACGTAACGTGTTTCAAATTTATCAAATTATTTATTTAGAAACATCAACGTCTCTGTGTGGCAACTTTTGTTGTTGACGGCACATAAAGGAATTGCTAACACTATAAACTTTAATGCAATTCAATTAATACGGCAAGGTGTAAAAGTGCATGATATAATAATTTCACCCAAAGCAAAAGTGTGTCCGCACCTGGGTCACGAACTCGTAAATAGAAAGCGTTAACACTCCGCAAACCGTTTATTTTGGTTTATGCCGTGCCAAGTAGAACAATTGCGGCACTTTTCAATGGCTAAATTTACTGTGAGAAACCCGACGGTCGTCAGCTTTATACGATGTTCCCAATTTTAGCAAACGAGGACCTTCCGAAATGGCGTGAGATAATAAAAATCACAAATTGTTCCGTTTTATGTACCCGACATCCAATTACCTAAATAATTAAATTTCCTTTTATAGTAACGCAGTGACATCAATTGTACAGATAGGTTTCCAACTCATCGAACGACATTTTCGCAATGGATTTTCTTTACTCTGACATTGACACACTAATATCTTTACAGTGTCATTAACAGTTGATGTTACTAGACGATAATTTAGTAATTTTCAAATTCCTATTAGATTGATAGTCCAGTTCTCACGTAATCAAGTGACAAATTGAAAACTATAAAACACGTAACAACAATTACGTCTTAATAAAGTAGCGTTTGAAGCAAACTTGTTTTTGTTAACCGCCCACAAGGTTCAATCCGTTTTTGGAATCTTGCAAATCGTCAAATTTGTGTTCATACGTACAATTTAATATGGGCCACCTTATAAATAATAAATGAAATTACAGTCGACCACATTTTTTATAGCCAGTAATAACAGAGAAAAATTCGTCTGACCTTAATGATACCGGATCGTATATTACGGCGCGTCCTTGCGATGCAACAATAATAATCACGTAAATTTACGTTATTACATTAATAAATAGACGCACCTCCTACAAGAATACGTATTATTTAAATTTTTCGAAAGTATTCGAAGGGGAATATGAGAATATTGCGACAGGTTCGTTTCAATTAAGCACGATAAGTGATAACAAAATTTATTTTGGCAAACAAAAATTGATTACACTATCAATAAATCTACGCTAAATGAAGGATATTAATTTAATTAATTGGATATGGAATAATAGAATGAATTTGCTATTATCATAACAATACCATTAAAATCTATTTTAAAATAGAATTTTATTAAAATCTAATTTGAAAAATAATTGCTTAGAGGAATGGGTTTATGAAAATTAATTAGAATTAAATAAATTAGATTTATCGTAAATGAAAACTTAAAGTGTCATCTTTCCAATAATGTATAATAACTATTGGGTTAGATCAAAAATATTTGGAGAAAAAAAATATTGAGTTAACACCAACATTTTCGTTTAACATAAATATGTTAAAAATGGTGAAAATTTAAAAACTGGTGAAAGCGCTGTTATTGGAAATTAAAGAATGAAATTTATTGCAAATTAAAGCTGAAAGTATGCTCTGTCAAATGTTATGCAATAATCATTGGGTTAGATTAGGAAAATTTGGAGAAAAAAAATATTGAGTTAACACCAACATTTACGTTTAAGATAAAAATGTCAAAAATTGTGAACATTTAAATATTGGTGAAAGCGCTGTTTATAGAAATTAAGGAATGAAATTTATTGCAAATTAAAGCTGGAAATATGATCTTTCAAATGATATACATATAATAATCATTGGGTTAGATTAGGAAAATATGGAGAAAAAAATAATAAGTTAAAATTTACATTTTTGTTTAATATAAAAATGTTAAAAATTGTGAACAATTAAAAATTGGGGAAAGCGCTATTTATGGAAATTAAAGAACGAGATTTATCGCAAATTAGAACTGAAAGTGTCCTCTTTCAAATGATGTATAATAACTATTGGGTTAGATTATGAAAATATGGAGGAACAAAATATTGAGTAAACAGTAAACACTAACATTTTTGTTTCACATAAAAATGTTAAATATTATGAATATTTAAAAATTCGTGGAAGCGTTGTTTATGAAAATTAAGGAATGAAATTTACCACAAATTATAGTTCAAAGTGTCCTCTTTCACATGGCGTATAATAATTATTGGGTTTGATTAGAAAAATTTGGAGGAAAACAAAATTAAGTTAATACCAACATTTTCCTTTCACATAAAAATGTCAAAGATAATTAATAAAGAAAATTTTAAAAATTGTTGAAGCGCTGTTTATGGAAATTAAAGAATGAAATGTATTGTAAATTAAAGCTGAAAGTATGCTCTTTCAAATGATGTATAATAATCGTTGGGTTAGATTAGAAAAATTTGCATTTTCGTTTCGAAACCAACATTTTCGTTTAACATAAAAATATTAATAATTGTGAAAATTTAAAAATTGGTGAAAGCGTTTTTTATGGAAATTAAGGAGAGAAATTTATTGCAAATTAAAGCTCAAAGTTTCCTTTTTCATGTGGCATATAATAATTATTGGGTTGCATCAATAAAATATGGAGAAAAAAGATATTGAGTTGAAATTACCATATTTGTTTAAGCTGAAAATGTAAAAATTGTGATATTTAAAAAAATCGCAATTCAAGCCGGACTCACTCGAGTAGTGAGTCCGCACTGATCAGAGAGTGTATCAGCAACCTGAGAGCACTCACTAGGGGCAATGATGTTACTCTCTGGTGGGTTCCAGGTCACAGAGACATTGAGGGCAATAAAAAGACAGACAAGCTGGCCAAAGAGGCATCAAAAACACCCTTTCACTTTCATGCTACAGCCACTTCCCCTGTCGCAGATTGCATTAGGAATTTGCTGACCCTTTTCTTCTTTTTCTACCGCGTCTCCTCTTCACATAGTTCCTAAGAAAAATTCCAACGCATTTAGATAACTGCGAACTTTTTTCAAACCTGGTAAGAGCGTACCACCAAATTCCTGTAG